GAGTCTAATGTTCTATACTATGATAAATGTTCTATGTTATTTGTTCTAATTCTGGTTGTTGTACGTTTGTAAAATAAAAAGTTATAGAGTTTATTCTAAAAGTATTCATTTTACGCGGAAAATTCTCCCTATTTGTAGAGAATATATAATTTTAAGGTAAGATATAATTTACCGGGTGTTTCTCGAAAATGGTTTTCCTTATACATTTTTTATTTTGTTTCTGATAAAAATGAGATTTGTATGCTGCAATGACATAAATTAAGATTGATTTGACGCTATTCAATTCGTTTCGATCATTCCTGTTTCACCGGAATGACTACAACTTTTTTTTTTTTTTTTTTTTTTTTTTTTTTTTTTATTTTTTTTATTCGATATGAAATGACACTCTGCATAGAATAACATATCATCTTCATTTTGGACATTTACGCTTTAAATCGTATTTTAAATTGAATCTAGAGTGTCATGGTGGTTTAGAAACACTAATTTTTAATCAAGGATCCTTTGGAAAAAAGTAATAATTGTCTTACAGTGGTGAAGCTATGGGGGGTGTTGGGAGGGGAATCCGAAGAGACGAGGTAGCTTTTAAACTAACAGAAGACTACATACACTTACGAATCTCTCGATAAATCCAGGGTCAACGGCGCGGCGCCCAAAATCCTAACGGTGGACCATATTTTATGGAAAAATTATTTTGCTCGTAGATATTCAATATGTGTTAAAATTACAAAGTCAATACAAAATATGAAAAAATTAAGAATTATTAGTGCATAGGAAATGGTTTATACAGGGTGTTACAATATTAACCCACATAAAAAATCATATTTTCGCAGATTCAGGTCAAGTCACCCCTTAACTAGTTTCCAAAAAATGAATGAGCCTAGAAGCATCATAATATGTAAAAAAAAATGTTATACAGGGTGTCTCAAAAGTCAAAAGTAATGAACTTGTTATAAAACTAGTTTTTTCTTAAAAATCGATTTTAAGACTTTTGGGACAATTGCATAAAAATATGATAAGCGTTGTACCTTCATTTTATTTGTAATTATTTTGAAAATGCAATATTTTATCAACTTACTTTGTAACTTATTGAAAAATATATATTTTTTATTTTTTTATTCATATCTCTGAAACTATCCAAATATATTTACATCTTATCTTAGGATTATGTAAAGTGATCAGAAAGGAAGCCAAAAATACAACAATATACAGAGTGTTCCCTTTAAAAAAATCATCCCGGTCCACTCACACTTTTTTGAGCCACCCTATAGAAGTTAAAATATTTTCCTGAAATACATCCTCGTACATACTTTAGGTGTGCAAACTTAAAAAAGTTTTTTTATTCTAGAAGCTACAGATGCTTGACGCACTATTGCCGGACAGTCCAACAAAACAATATGCTCTACACAGGGTGGCAGTTTGGGGCAGATTTATTTTGCTCGACATAAAAGAATAAGGACTACCTAAGCGAATGACATGTATAAAAAATACGATATTTCTACATTTTTTTTTTAAATCGTTCATAAATTTTAAAGGCTTTTTTTTTGAAAAATATATTTTAACAAAAATGACCCTAATACAAATATGGGAAAACATTATTAAAATGTGAAAGAGGCAGAAAAACAGTAAAAACTTACCCCTATCATCTACATTCATCATAAAAAAAATATTTGTAAAATATACGTTTTAAAAAAAATACAAAATTGAGACTTCTGCTGCGATATAATAGCATTTTATTAGTTACGACAATTCCATTATTCATTTGCTTTTGTTTTGTGATGCTCCAAAGCCTACTTGTTGTAAATTGATAACAAGATTTATGAAATATTAATATATTTTTTTTGGAGATAATCAATGTTTTTAGTGACCCTGGCTCTCTGTTGTTTCCTGTGTGAACACCCTTGGGGATTAAACACGAAATTATTTTCAAAGATGAAGTTTTTTGGAAAGAAAAATCTAAAAAACAGCTTACGGAATTCTACATAAAATGTCTTTTGACCGAAATGGTGGATCCTAGAAAATGTAGAAATATGTCTATTAGAAATATCTCTGTTAAAAGTTAAGTAGTCCATCGTAATCGTCCATTGTTTAAACAATATTATTATCTGATATAATAAATATTTATATGCATTAATATTGCTTATATGTATGTCCATTGACTTCGTATATGTAGTAAATACTTTTTGAGTAAATATATCGTCTCAGTGTTTTTTATTTTATTTTGGTGTGTTTTTTACGAATTATTTTTTGTTTGTAGAGTACTACTATTATGGCACTTTAACTATCACCAGTATAATACATAGTAGTATAATTTTTATCACTTTTAACAATATTAATTTTTTAAACAATTTAAAAATAATAGAGCAAAGTAAGAATAGGTAGTAACAATTATTATATCATATAATCCCTATATCATGTATCATGTATTATCTCTTTATTTAATGCGATATAACGATTTTACTCTAATTTTTGCTTATTGAAGTGGCGCCGCGCGCCGGCCGGCGCCGGTGCAAATTACTGTAGACTTCCATTACTACACAGTGGTCAAACCATCTTATTAATTATTTATTGTTTTGTTTTGTTACATTGCATCACGATCAATGACCATACACACACAATAGATGCAACGCAAATGTTGTTTGCCGTATGATTTGATTACAAAATAACAATTTTAAATTATTGTGTAAGAGACAAGCGTTATAAAATAATTTAACCAAATAATTCGAATACGTACCTGGTTTCCTTTGCCCGCCTTCAAAAGCGTCAGCAACAAAATTCACGTGAGGGCGCCACATTACGGACAACAAAAATGATCAAAATTGGGTTTGCAGAGGCTCGGGCGTCACAAAATTGTGACCATGTTTTTTAATATTTTGAAATAATTTTTGTTTCACTTTATTAAGGAAGCTTCCAGACATGCTCGTAATTAGTTTTAAAATCGATTTGAATACATTTAATGCTAAAAAAATTACTTATAAAATCGTCTTTTTTTAGGGGGTTTTAGGGGTAAATTTGAAACAGTTTGAGTTGAGTTTGGGGAAGGAAATATAATTATAAGCACGTCTTAAGATGTATACAAACAAATAAAAAAAGATTCGTGAAGAAAGGTCACATGGTTTTTGCAGCATTTTGTGATAGCCAAACCCTTACAAATTCTAAGCTAGCGCCAGTGGGAAGGAGAGCCTTAAAAAAAAATTGAAAACTAAACAATTGATTTTTATTAACTTTTTTTTAACTGTTAAGCTATAGATGCATACACAGAGAATTATATGCCTAGTACAATATTAATATAATAATCAATCGCAATCACAGGTTACAGTCGGAGCGATTTAAAAATCGCAATCGCAGTTTCAATTGCTATTGGAGAATCGCCATATTGTCAGAATTCTCCATTATTTTGTCGCAAGTTTGTCTTGTTTTTGTCTCAAAATCGTGTTTACTTTTTGTCGCCTTAGTCTGGACCCGGCATAATATAATATACAGGGTGAGTTTCCTACGGTGTTCTCTATGGGTATCTCGGAAACTACTAAAGATAGAGAGTCGGTTAAATGGGGAAAGAATTGCAGTTTTATGGGGTCATAAATATGCGCCTTTCAGATTTTTGAAAAAGTTCATGACTTTCATGGTATCTCGAAAAAAACAAATATCGGCTATTTTAAAAATTGTCTCTAATTCCATTATAAGCTATTTTAGATAAAAAGTTTTGAGATAAAAGTTGTAAATAATCACATCCTTAATGATATTCTGTCCTCCGTTTTTTCTATAGACGGTCATTTTTGACATATGACACAAATATATGTTTTTTTTAAAGGGAAACCATAGTTGGCCATAGCTTCATAAAAAACGCCATTTTTTAAGCTTTTCAGCGATATAAGGTATAATATGTTTTCTTCGAAAAATTACTAAGTTATAGCCAATTCTTATAATTTTTAAACAATTTCACTTAGTTGGCCATGGAAACAAGTTTAATCGTCTTTGCTCACATAAATGTGAAGCTGTCACATCCAAATTTTGTAAATTAAAATAAACAAAAATTGTAAATATGCATTTTTCAAATGAAGAAAAGCGTGTAGGATTATTGGTTCAAGTTTTCTTGAACATACATTTTGGAGGATACGTGGACCGGTGTTTTTAGAGAACGGTTTTCAAGACATGTTAAAAAAGTTAAATTTAGTTATAGCCAATTCTTATCTTTCTATGGCCAACTAAGTGAAATTGTTTAAAAATGATAAGAATTGGCTATAACTCACTAATTTTTCGAAGAAAACATATTATAGCTTATATCGCTAAAAAGCTTAAAAAATGGCGCTTTTTATGAAGTCATGGCCAACTATGGTTTCCATTTAAAAAAACATGTGTTTATATCATATGTCAAAAATGACAGGCTTTAGAAAAAAGCGCAGGACATAATTTCATTAAGGATGTGATTATCTACAACTTTTATCTGAAAACTTTTTTTCTAAAATAGCTTATAATGGATTTAGGGACAATTTTTAAAATAGCCGAAATTTATTTTTTTCGAAATATCTAGTAAGCCATGCACTTTTTCAAAAATCTGAAAGGCGCATATTTATGACCCCATAAAACTGCAATTCTTTCCCCATTTAATCGACTCTCTATCTCCAGTAGTTTCCGAGATACCCATAGAGAACATTGTAGGAAACTCACCCTGTATAATAATTTATTAACAGTTATATAAATGTAAATAAAACGATGAAAAATGTCAATGTTACGTGAATATCATAACCTATTGTCGAGTTATGTCCACCTATTTTTCTATGGATACTTTTGTCAATATTTTTATTATACGAGGGAAATGTTGAAGACGCTTCTCAGCATTTTCAATGTTTTGAACAATAATTTTAGCTGCCAAGTCGAAAATTATCAATTAATTATTGAGGAATTATAGAATTATTTCCAGATATATTTCCTAAAACATTTCGGGGATAGTGTAGCGGCTGTTTTAATACTGAGTCATTATCTACCATAGGCAAAGAAATGTAGGCACTTCATATCTTTAATTTATGTAGTCTATTATAACGTATTTATTACATTTATATTATTTCTCAGCTGGGACAATCAATTTTCCTTACATCAATATCAAAAAGTACACATATAACAGCATCGCCAGTGTCTTGGTCTTTAATAGTGAATTCTAGTGCCACTGTTACCTACAAAAATTAGTAATTAATAAATTTTGAAATTAGTAGATATATTTCTGAGTAGTTGTAGTAGTAGTCTCCAAGTTATTAGACTGACTGAAAATAGTACATAGGACTGCAGAATGTGACCTAGAAATCAGAGGATCAACACAACAAATGCGTAAAGGTTCCGTGGAACAGGACAATAGCCATCTCAAATATATGCTAAATATACTTTTTGAAAATTGACGTTAAGTATTTCAATACAGTTGATAAGAATTAAACAACAACGTTACCTCAGGAAAAATATTTAAAATATCCATCGATATTTTATATTTAATGTGTTCATTTTTTACTATCGGGCACTGAGTGTTTTCTATCCCATCACAAGCATCATCCTGGGTCAATGGATACGGTATAGTCACTCCAGCGTAAGTAGCCAGAATATTAGGCTTCATATTTTCTAAATATTTTGCTAAAATATTAATTGCTTAATACTAATATGCTTGATGATAAAAATATGTAAATATTAATCCTTACGGGATAAAAATTCTAAGTAGATAGTAAACGGACAGCCGGGTATACATGTACAAGGTGTTTGATTACAAAGCAGAGTCCCAGCATACATTGTAGTGTTTGGAAGTAGTGCTCCATTGTCACCTATACAAAAAAAATTCTATAAATAACATTCGATGTCAATTTGTGAGCGCAATATACAGGGTAATCCGAACTGTATTCCGGAAACTTCGACAGCATATTCCGTGGTGAAGCTATGGGGGGGGGGGGGATGCCCCCCCCCCCGTTGTATAATTGAGTTGGGAAATTAGTCATGACAACGCGACGCGACGTCTAAATCCCAAATTTGTCAAAAATAAAATATTGCCATCAACTTAGATTTACAAAAAATAATAACAACTTGGGCCACTTTGAAGACCAGACGACTATTCTATACTAATATAGTATGTATAAAATCCTTAAGTGTGTGACTGACATACTGATTAATCACGATCCTGCTCAAACCATTCAACGTAAGAAGCTCAATTTTGGCATACAGGTTGATTCTAGAGTGTAGAGGTTCGATAAGAAGGGATTTTTCGAAATTCCAGTTCCAAGAGGGTGAAACCACCCCTCAAATATTACAATATTTTTTATTTAAAAAACGGTCAAGTTTCCGAAAAAAACGCTTAAACACGTATATTTTATTTTGTTTTTTTACATATTTTAAGATTTTTTAAAAATGTATACAGGGTGTTTCGAAAAATCTGGTAATGGATTAATCACGATCCTGCTTAAAACGCTTGACGTAAAAAGCTGATTTTTGGAAAACAGATTGACTTTAGGATGTACAGGTTCGATAAGAAAGGATTTCTCGAAACTCGAATTCTTAGAGGGTGAAACTATCCCTCATATATTAAAATATTTGTTATTTAAAAACCGGTTAGTTTTTCGGAAAAACTCTTAAACACGTATATTTTATTTTGTTGTTTTACATATTTTAAGATTTTTATAATATAATAATATAATATATACAGGGTGTTTCATAAAATATGGCCATTGAGTAATCACGATTCTGCTTAAATTGCTTGACGTTTAAAGCTGATTTTTGGCAAACGGATTGACTGTGGGGTGTAGAGGTTCGATAAGGAGGGTTTCTCGTATCTCAAATTCCAAGAGGGTGAAAACGCCCCTCAAATATTACAATATTTGATATTTATAAAACGGTTAGTCTTTCGGGAAAAGGCTTGGACAAGCATAATTTATTTGGTTTTTTTACATATTTTGAAATTTTTTAAAAAATCATACAGGGTGTTCCAAAAAGTTGGGTAATTTCTTAACGACGATTCTGCTTAAACGGCTTGACGTAAAAAGCTTATTTTTGGCAAACGGATTTTTCGAAAGTCAAATTCCAACGAGATGAAACTACCCCCCAAATATTACCAAGTTATATAATAATATCGCCATATTGTTTTTTCTCATGCTGACATAAATGTGAGAAAATTTTATCCAGTTTGTATGTTAATGGAAATTCTTGCTTTGCTTTGTCATCACCATTACTAATGATTAAATCGAAGCGAACGAAGTCGCTGGTACACGCTAGTTATTAAATAAAATATTAAGGATGGTACGATTTTATTTTAACTTTAGAGTTGTCATAACAATAATTATTTATGCATGTTATAATGTTCAATAATGTTAAACTTAAATTTCAAATTAATAAAACATTTTTTTTTTAAAACAAGGGTTTTTATTCCTATCACGATACATTATTACATGTATTATGGCCTCTAAAAAAAGTAGGAAGTTTGGAAAATTGCTTGTCCTCCCCCCCCCCCCAAACCAAACCAAAAAAAAGGTTCTAGCGTCACCACTGAGCATATTTTGCAGATAAAAATAAATAAAAAAGTTCATATAAATGTATGTCCTAAAAAGCTTAGTTTCGGAGATACGGGGTGTAGAAGTTTCATTTTCATTTCGATTTTTTCCAAATAATTTCTAAAGTAACGTTAATATTTGGATGAAAAATGATGTCTGGTTTGATTTGGTTTGGTTGTTCTTTAACGTGAGAAATTTGATTGATGTCAATATGTCTCCTACTTGTAGAGGGCGCCACCTACACATTTTTTAACTGGTTTGAAAAGTAACTTTTCGTCCGTACCTGTATAAAACTACCGAGTAAAAAAATATACATTTACGACGTTTTTTACGTAAAAAAGATCTCTTGATAAAAATCGCTACGAGTAATGGTTAGTGATGACGCTTTGGAACAGGATCTGTTATTTTCGAAACAGGTTTGTTTTGGAACTGGCTTGGAACAGGTTTATGTGCTATCTTATACCAGTTCCAGTTCCAACTGTTCCAGCCGTTTCAAAACACTGCAACTTAAACTAAATACTTAAAGAAATAAATTATTGGAATTGTTTAAATTATGTTATCTACTATATTTGTGATACTAGATTCTTAATAGTGTATTTTTCAAAATGAGATAATTATATATTATATTGCATTTGGCAACATCGCCAGTACGTTTTTTTGATGGTAAGAAATTCCCTACACCTATTCTGTTTACATTAAAAAAAACTCTGCGTAAAAAATGTATACACACCGACAAAGGAACAGCTTATTATGATAAAGGCGACGACCTTTTTTATAGGCATGGTAATTTTCGAAATAGGTATAAGGAATTTACTTTAAATTTTTTTGTTTTGGCTAATTCGTGCTACTGAATTATTATCTAGAGTTACTTAGTGCAGTACACAACAATCATCATAATTAAGCGGGAGTTGTTTTAACCTATCGCCGAAGAAGATAGTGGAAACAAATTAAAATAATTGTTATTTATAAACGTTAACAATTCCTTTCAAGATTCTTCGTGTTAATTTATAATTAGATGTTATAATACTACTTTGCTTGTTGGTACTCTTTGAGCCAACCAAAATATTTTAGTCTATCTCTGTTATTATTTGTTTAGTTGTTTAATTTAGGGTATAAATATTTATAGGTCTGTTGAATTTTTATTATTACAAGAATAGAATTTGATTTGTGTACTATCTAGGACTTTAAGTTTAATATCTAGAAATGTAAGTTGTTTTTATTTTATATATGTATTTTACTATTTTACTTATATAAAATAGTAAATATTAGATATTCTTTTCTTTCTGTATTTTTAAATATTGATTTCCTATTTAAAATATATAATAATAATTTAGTTGAATTTTAATTAAATATATCAAATATCAACAACGCTGCGAAAACCGTCACCCTTGTTTTTTTTACGCCTATGCACTATATTAGTGCACTCGCACTCGATCTGGATAATATAACGCCAAGCGGCCGCGTCGCTAAAGCGATATACTACCTCGTTTCTCAACTGAAACTAGTTCTTTTTACTTAACTGTTCCAAGTCCCAAACTGTTCCACTAGCACTAGCGAAACCGATATACGACCTCGATTATCAACTCAAACCAGTTCTTTTTACTTAACTGTTTCAAACAGTTCCAAGTTCCTAACTGTTCCAAGCCCTAAACAGTTCCAAGTCCTTAACTGTTCCAAGCGCTAAACTGTTCCAGGCCCTAAACTGTTTCAAGTCCCAACCTGAACAGCGGGACTTGGAACAGTTTGAGACTTGGAACGGTTTGGGACTTGGAACATTTTGAGACTTGGAACAGTTAGGAACTTGGAACTGTTTGAAACAGTTAAGTAAAAAGAACTGGTTTCAGTTGATAATCGAGGTCGTATATCGGTTGCGCTAGTCTAGCCAAAGTTTAGCGGACGCGACCGTTCAGGTGTTATCTGTTAACAGGTGTTATTATTTAAAATATTTATTTAAAATTCAACTAATTTTTTTTAAATATTTTAATTTTTTTAATGTAAACAGAAACAGAATAGGTAAGGATCATTTTTTATTATAAAAAAAATGCTGGCAATGTTGCCAAATGCAATATAATTATCGCATTATAGTTTTTTTTTAAATACAGTGTAAGAACAGTCGGTTATTGTTTTGTATTATAAATATAGTAGATATTAAAAAAAAACTTTTTCAAGAATTTACTTTTTAAGTCTATAACAAAATTATAAATCTATAATATTTATTCATTAATGCTTATACAGGGTGTGTCTTAAATAAGTGCACATAGTAGGGTGGTATATTCTGATTCTCATGAGTTTTTTTCGGGAAAACATGTTTTGGAAAAGTTTATATTTTTCGAAAATTTGATATGAGTTTCTTTTAATTTTTAGTTAAAAAAACATTATATCGTGATAATGGAGCAACATAGCTAGTAGATTAAATTTAGAGAAAACAGAAAAATCTCCAGTAGTTCTCATTATTTAAGCAAAAAATATTCTTTTATATAAATTTAAAAAGAAAAATAGCAACCGAATCAGAATGACGCAATTACGGTATTAATTTTCGTTTTAGAACAGTTTGGAACTGGAACAGGTTTCTTGGAACAGGTATCTTTTGCAACTGGAACAGGTTTCTTGGAACAGGTATCTTTTGCAACTGGAACAGCTTGTACCTGTTATTAAAAAATCGCTGTTCCGGCCATGACTAGTAATGGTTCTCGAGATATTAGTCCAGTCATCTTAGGGTACGTTTATGTTGGAGCTGCGATAAACGATAAAAGCAGTGAATTAGCGCTGCTCTTATCGTTGCTCAATTGCCAAGCGTGTCTCGACGCGTTGCTCCAATATAAACACCAACATATAAATTAATATAATAATATTCTTTGCTTCGCTACTATCGCTGCTCTTATCGTTTATCGCCGCTCCAACATAAACGCACCCTTAGGGGTTTCACCTCGGAATTCGAGGTAACCGGCCGTAAACTCGTATAAACCTATATTTTAACATCCTAAAACATGTCTCAAAACCTATATATGATATCGTGTGCGCGACTTATAGATAACTGAGGTCAAAGGTCAAAAAATCGATTTTTTGCGCATTTTTTGCAAATATCTCGTTCCCTTTCACATTTACGCTATTTGTATTTTTTTAAGTATAGAGGATAAAATTCTCTACAACTTTTGTTTCAGAATTTTTTTTGTACCTTAAACCGTTTTTGAGATAGAGGGCGGTGAGCGCGCAGTCTTTCATTATGTACGGTATCATTCAAGTTCAACATGTAGTCTCGGTCAAAAACACGCCGTATAAAGTCCGTTAATTATTGAAAAATATATAATTATAAATAATTTACATTTTTTCATAAAAGATCATATTGAATATAATTTTTTTTTTCATAAATTATGTATATATTCATTTAATAACACTTACCTCTTTGTATAATTAGAAAATGATTAACAGAAATACTTTAATTACATTTTAATTATAGTCAGATTTATACTAATTACCTCCAGCTCCAGAAAATTTGCTGAACACAATATTCTGCAACTGCAAGAATGGTTGTGGTTCGCGATGTGGATGCAGAAATCAGGGTTGCCGTGCTCTTTAGGTTGTGGCCAGTGTAATGGGCATGCTTGTCTCAATGCTTCACCTCTATCAGAGTGATGTCAATGAAGATGGTACATTTGACCCCGAAATCCTAGAAGACTTGGAGACAAATGTCGTTGAAGATGAAAAATGAAGAAGAATTCTTCGAAATTCCACAATGACCAGACAACGATGATGAAGAAGAAGGAGAAAACTAAAAATAAGAACATGGAGTTCTTTTTTTTTTTTATTTAATTTTGTCTTTATTTTTATTTAATTATTATTAATTTTTATACATTAAATTTAATATTCTATTTTTTATTATTTATATAATTTTTATTAATTATTTATTTTTATTTAATTATTTATACAGGGTGTCCCAAAAATAAGTGCAAATATTTTTAACTGGTAATATATTTCGGCCTCAGAAACACGCCCATGAGGTATTTTTTGCAAAAAATTAAAAATTTGGAATTTTTTGGAAAAAATTTTGGATTTTTTTTATTTTAATTTAAAAAACATAATTTCTTGATAATATGGCAACATAGGTAGTAGCTTAAATTTACATGAAAGAAAATCCAGAAAAGATCCAGTGGTTCTCAAAATTTTAGCAAAAAATGATTTTTTTTGGAAATTTTCAAAGTAAAATAACTCGGTTATTTTGGACTTATTTGAAAAACAGTAAAGAGAAAAAACGTTGCTTTTGACCAGATCTACCACACCTTAAAATATCTGCACTTATTTCTGGGACACCCTGTATATTCAAATCGGATTTTTTATTAGACATATGTAAATTAAAAATGTATTTCTAGTCTTTTTATTTACTTAAAATGTAATTAGTATAAATCTAACTATAATTAAAATTTAATTAAAGTATTTCTGTTAATAATTTTCTAATTGTACAAAGAGGTAAGTGTTATTAAATGAAGATATACTTAATTTATGAAAAAAATTATTATATTCAATATGATCTTTTATGAAAAAATGTAAATTATTTATAATAATTATATATTTTTCAATATGACGGACTTTATACGGAATTCAAATTTATTTTATTAATTATTATTCTTTATTATTTTAATTTATTAATTTTTTTTTTACTTTTTTTTATTTATTTTTTTTTTTTTTTTTGTTTTTGACCGAGACTACAGGTTGATCTTAAATGATACCGTACATAATGAAAGACTGCGCGCTCACCGCCCTCTATCTCAAAAACGGTTTGTGGTACAAAAAATTTTTGAAACAAAAGTTGTAGAGAATTTTATCCTCTACAATATTTATAATGAATACAAATAGCGTAAATGTGAAAGGGAACGAGATATTTGCAAAAAATGCGCAAAAAATCGATTTTTGACATTTGACCCCAGTTATCTACAAGTCGCGCACACGCTATCATATGTAGGTTTTGAGACATGTTTTAGGATGTTAAAATAAAGGCTTATACAAGTTTACAGCCGGTTATCTTGAATTCCAGGATTCCTACCCTATTTCGACTAAGATGACTGGACTATATTTGTAATCGATATTATCAATACCTGTCGTCATTGACATAAATTAAACATGTTGACTAAATAGTTATTAGACTGACAAAGTTTCCGGAATACAGTTCGGACAACCCTGTATAATATTCAGTGTCTGTTTGGCGGCAAGAATAGCCTCCATTATACAATAATTTTGAAGAGGTCGATTTAAAAAAAATGCTCAGAAAATTACTCTTAATAAATAAATATTTGCGTATTCGGAACAATGCTGGAACACGACCATTGGTATTTTTAGTTGCGGTTTTTTGTCGATATAATCTTTTTATACAGGGTGTCATAATAGTGTATCGAACTTCCGCGGGTGATTCTACAGATAAAAAAATTGTGTGCACTAGAAAAATTGAAACTTCTTACTAAAGCTATTCAATTAAACGATTTGAAGGATATATTTAAATTTGAAGGACATGTTTAAAAAAATACAGGATATCCCATTTAAAAAAAAAAATGTGAAAAAATCAACGCTATCTCCGTTTGAATATTCACAGGGTGGCGCACGTGGTTTCGCCTCGTTGTTATCACGAAACGGCAAAGGCCTGTAGAAACACAAAAATGATTAGTTACACATGTGTAGACGTACATGTTGGGAGAAAGTGCACCCAATTTTATATAACTATCGCATTCTTTTTATAACAGGGTGTTTCAAAAAAAAAAAAAAAAAAAAAAACAAAGTTATATTTTTTCTTATTGGATTTTTTACTTATTGGCATCATTTTTGGATTTTTGGACCCAAAAAAGGTATTTACTATAAGGGTTAAATATATGTTTAAAATCTTTAGTTTTTAGTTTTAAAGATCCTTGCATAATAAATTTGCATAGGACTATCAATTTTAGATAGACAATTATTTACAGCCCTGGTACATTACTCGCTCTCCTCAGAATATTAGCTTTATGCTGAGCTTAGTGTAATGGTAAGAGAAAATAAACTTTATCTGAAAAATGGTCTATTAGTTATTGTAAATTATACAGGGTTATTTCAAAAGTTGCTGATCTATTTTTAATGGATATATTTTATCACAGGATAACACATCAGACTTTTATGATAACAAATTTCGTTATTTCAAAAGCAACACCCTGTATTTTTTTTAAATAAATCGAAGCAGGTTCAAAAAAATAGTTCTTTCAACTACTATTTAGGGTTTCATATACCATATCTAGGCTTCAGTTTTACTTATAATCAAATGTATCTTAAATAAAATTGCAATCAAAACAGCTGATGTCATGACAAGTTCCTAATGACAGTTAGTAACTATTTTCAAAGTCGACATTTAATTTATGGAGGATATTATTTATCATTTATAACCTTTTTTTTTTTTTTTTTTTTTTTTTAAATTTACCTACAATAGAT